TTTATAGAGTATTATAGAGTACTTACAGTTCTCCAGGCGATGCTATTGCCCATACTAACACAAGGAACTCGGAACTCAAACATAATATTAGGATATTTTGATTATTGCCTAAATATGCAAGTTTCCTTCAGCTGCTTTCCATCCCTTGCGAGAACATGGTGAATCAGCACTTAAAATTGCAACGAATTCATTGAGAGTACCGTAGACTTCAATACTCAGTATTCAGTACCGTGATTTGAACACTGATTGTTAGAGAACACATATTTGAAATTTAAAAGAATGACATTCATCGAAAGTGTATAATAAACAATAGAAGTTATTCAACAATTATTCGTTATGAAATCTTATTTCTTATTTTTAGTTATTCTGATTTATCCCCATTATATAATCTGGATGCAGAAGAATAACAAATCATTCCTTGTCATAATGAAGAGTATTCTATCAAAGGTAATGATATCAACCTCCAAACTTCTCATTCTCATGTGTGGAACCGTCTAATATAGTACATGAAGTATATTTTATCGGTGCCGAAAATGTCGAAGCTCATGGGAGCACCTGCGTGTCGGAAAATAATTTATGGCGCTTGCATGTAATTTCAGAAGATAGAGCATTATACGCCAAGGGATAGGACGCGCGTTGAAACTTCATGAAAGATTATCGACGCCCCAATATAAATAAGGGGTTGGGAAAGTTATGTCGAGAAACAATTATTAGCAGTAAAATTCTTTGCAAAAAGTTTAAGCTCCATAGTAAATCGTATAATACTTATGTATTAGGCGAGAAAGTCTTATTAATTTGGGTTAAGTAATCAGGTAAGTAACACTGAATACGGCTTACAGATTAAGATTTATACAAAACTTTTGGACATTAAATGAGACACCTAGAAGTCATCTTTCAAGTCTCTTAAGAAATCATCTTATTAAAAAGTACATAAATGTAAAACATTTTGTCAATCGAATTTAAACTTCTTTTTTTTTCAAATTTGCCTTTCACAATGTAAATTGTAATAATAAATATACTAATAAATAAATAGTATCTCTAAAATGACCTCAGATATATATTCACTCCATTTTCTATGGTCAACAGCGTTCATCATCAAAGCGGGACAAAAGACAAGGTACCCTAGTGTATAGGGTCTTACGACTCGACTAACAGATGACTTCGCGATCGATGCTATTGTAAGCGCAGACCAAATCAAGTGAGCAGAGGTCATAATAAAATGCAATAAGTAATCGGCATGAGGTCTGGGTACGTAATAAAGAGCTGGATGCACGCGATCTCGCCATTAGGAAATGGGCGCCGCCGCAGCGCGGACGATAACGATTTCACTGGTCGGCCATACTGAATGGGGAAAATTGCGCTTTTCAGCGAAATGAAAGCCCGCCAGCCACGGTTGCAGAATTCCTCTTAGATAAAAAAAAAACGCACATAAATTTTCGGGTTCGCCTCCACTTTTATATTATATGCATCCGGGAGCCGCGATAAAATCCGACCTAGATTTAAAAAAAAACTGGGTTCAAACATAATATTTATAGCGGCGATCGAGTGAATTTAGTGGGTTGCAAACGTGGCTAGATTAAAACGTTCGATTGGATTTTATATTCTAGCAAACGCTGCGGGTAGCAGCTTGCATGGAATTACCATCGCAGTCGATTAATTAGACACACAGCCGGCGGAGTGAGCGGTTTCACATAGTTAGTCCGAACTAGTGTTAAAATTGTTACATCTGAGCAACGGGCGGAAAGGGGGCGATATAAATTAATGGTGATTGGTTATAATGCTGTGATACTTCGACAGTTTTATTGCGATGCAGAAGAATAGGTTTTTTTGCCGGACAACGGAAGTATACAGGCGGACGGGGGCATTGCGAAAACCAACGAACTAGGAAGAGGAACCGATGTGTCTTACGCAACAAGGTCGGCTTCGGTGACGGAAAAAATATCTCCGACAACAATAAAAAGTTACGGGATGGAGTTTTTTTTGTGTACAGAATTGCCAATATGGCTTAGATAGGTTTTATACTAATAAGCTTAATCTGAGTAAATAGATGACCAAGGTCAAGGCCAGGCTGTAAATTAATTGCTAAGAAACAAGTGGCAGGCGCAATCATCATCACAATCATATGTTTAGAATTCGATGAGAATCAGGCAAAAGTATCGTATCAAAGGTTTTTATTCAAGTCCGTCCAGATTTTTTTTTATTAGTCCCTTATCGCGAACATTTTTCCTTCTCATTGTAGCCGGTAAACTTACAATTCTCATGATAGTATTAAATTTATCTCATTCATACATTTATATCATTTACATCATTCGTACATTTAAATCTAATTGTAAGCCGATGTTTAACACAGCGTTATTTTTAGACGTACCAATAAAGAAGCATTATTTTGACTCACTGGTTCTGATAATTCCGCATTGTTAAATTTCGGAGTAACTTTATTTTTGGTTACATATTGTTTTCGATGAGATTATAATGGTTTTGGTTGGCCATTGGCTAAGCTATAATACGCGGTTAGGGTCGTGAGTTGAATTCCTACTCGGGACCAGTAATTCTTTGATCTATGAATAACATTATTCCGGATCTGTGTCTACGTTTTGTTTTCACAGGTTGTTTGTGAAAGAAACTTCTATACTTTACCACACACACTGATTCACTTTGGCTGCTTATAACAAAATAGTCAGACTTGAAGATGATCAAATTTCCGTCACCGTTTCGAGATCACACGAAAACACGATAGATTAATTAACACATACTCATAAAAACAGGTCAAACCAATAATAAAAAAGCGTGTTGACAGAATATACAGGACATAATATGAACGCTGCGGAATGGAGTTGGTAAAACACGAGTTGGAAAATTTATTATTAAAGCGATGTCCGCGCGGTTCAACAGTCAATGTGAGCGACTGACGAGCTGTGTGACGCGGAAGCTTTATTTTTCCGCATTTTCGGCGAATACGGACTCACGTTTCTCCGCAGACTTTGAAGACGCGTCATAGATAGACGGAATTATCATTGCGTCATTATAGACGGAATTATCATTATTTTAAATCAGGCGACACTAGTTTTAGCATTAATTACTTGAAATATAATAGAAAAAAAAAGTGAAGTAGACTAACAGCCCATACATGGCCTACTGCTGGGCAAACGCTTCCTCTGTTTAGTATAGACTTATAGAGTGTACTAGGAAAAGTACTATAAATTAAAAAATTTAAAAAAAGTGTACTAGGACTTCACATATCTTCGAGAGGTTTTTTTTTGTTATAATTTAAAAAATATGCCGGTTTACCCGAAATGTTTTTCTTCGCCTAAATAAAAATCACCGCTATAAATCACCTGATATTAAGGGTAGTTTGTGTGTCAACTTTGCTGCTGGGGCGTAACGTTGAACCGTGATGATCCGCAGAATCGAATGAACGGTACCATGAATTGAATCGCTGTTGAAATCAGTTCGTCCATACAATCTTGCAGATCAGATCTAAAAACTTTTCTCGTTATACAAAAATCAGTTGAAACCCGCCAAGTGGAAATTGACATCGTATATTTTAAATTTTATAGAGGTGGAACGTTATTAAAATAATGATTGGGCAGCTGAAATAATTTTTCTTGCTTAAGTCTTTCTATAAAAGTTAATTTACTTCCACTCAGGATTTTCAGAGTGAAAGCATAAAAGGCTTTCTGCGCTTTTTAATATTCAAAAGTCAATAAGGCTTCATTAAAATCAGATTACGAGCCATCAATCAATGACCGTGGCCCCTATTTAGGGGTGAAAGTGTATTTTAATTCAATTATTTTTTAATAAAATATAAATCTTTTAATTATTATGACTTGCTCTTTAATTCGCTCCCTAAGCCGAGGACATTTACCAAGGCCAGACACTTGAGTAGGTGCTTCGAAAGGTCAATGTTTACCTTGGAAATGTATTAATTTATTTCAATTGGATTGTCAATGCCAAATTTTTGGTTTTATCAACTGTAAGAAAACTAACGTAATTCATCTTAATCTTAATGCAAATTTCTGATTCTATTAAAAGTAAAAAAAATATAAACTGGAAAATAACAACTTGAATATATAATATAAATACCAACAGTAAAAACATACTGGCAAAGAGGCAACATATTAGCGAACACGTTAAGTTAAACACAGACTTAAACAATGAAATAACAGCAACTATGTATTATGTGTTATCTTCTTAGAAAACCAACTCGCATTTACTAAGTCAAATAATATAATATCAAAACCTTTGCCCTAAGTATATATTTATTAGCGGTAACTATTTTCACAACTATAAAATCAAGTTTGATACTGGAAATCCCCTTTAATAAAACGTTTTAACCTCATGTAACAAGTCAGCTTGTATGTTGGCTAAAAAGACCAGGCGAAGCAAAATTTTCAGCCCAGTTTGATACCAGAATGCGGTAGACTATTTAAAAACTGGAGTAATTAGTTACTTTACAAGGGACATGCATGAATTTTTCATTCGGAACACTTTTCGCCGTTATATCTGAATAAGAACTCGTTAACTTACTCATACTTCTTTCGTGGACGGCGATATTTTTTACGGTATGTAAAGTTCTTGTTCCGCAGGGAACATTAAAATGCAAATTCGGACGTAAGGACATTAAAAGTACAAAAGGTTGTAGTTAACGGAGCGTAAATTTATTTCAGTGATTTATTTAGTACAAACAATCATCTGTACAGATTTAAGGACCGGCAAGGAGTGATTCTTATGTAGTATGTTTAAATTAAGCATAAGACAGAATTCTGAGGAATCTTGTGATTAAATGGAATCGTTTACATAATCCTTAAATATGTGTTATAATTTTATATGTAAAACTTTAATAGCTACTACTTTTCGTTAATACTGAATCTCATTTCAGATCTCATTTAATATACGCGACATAAAATCCTTAACCAAAATACGATCTCGCACACAACTTTTTTTACCATATCATCTAGTATTTATCAGATAGCATCGAAACGACACATCTGCTAAGTTTCATGTGCCGTGCATCGATCTGCGGTAACAGTGTTAGGTTCGATCTCGCGTGTTTTAGTTTGAACGTTGTTACGCGTTTCCAGCCGCCGATGGAGGATTTACCGAAACCCGGCTCGCTAACGAAGCCGGGCTTGTTTGTTCAGCAAACGCGCGCGCTGTTTGCCGTGCAGTTTTATCTAAAAATTTTACAAAGCCTCAAAGAGATAAACAAAAGCTCCTATTTTCATCTCCCGTCTGGTGGGAAAAACGGACGGGCGGACCGGACCACCTGGCGGTAATGGGCTTCAATAATAATTAATTCTACTGCCATTTGGTTGAATCTAGCAATTTGAAAACGGCAACATGACAATTAACTTTTCTCTTTTATTAGCATAATTTAGAGTTCTTTATCCTTACAAAAACGAATACATATTTCAGGCAATGAGGCAACTACGATTTAAGCGGATGTTAATAATTTCAGAAAACAATAGGTTCATTACATTTTAACTTTTAAAAAACCAAGACGTATTAACATACTTTATCATTTTCTAAATTCGTTGATATATTAAAAATATTAATTCAGGTACAGCGAAACAATGCACGGTATTATAAATGAAGGTTAATGTTTGTAATGTTTAAAACTCAGACGGTGATGTTCTCTTTGCTTGTCAAAACGACATCTTTACAATGTGCACATTCGAATTAATGTAACTCAAACACAAAGGCGATAGATACCAAATTCGTAGTCGTTGTCACGTAACGCGGAGAGATTTGTCCGTGGTATAGATAGTGTCGGGAAGAAGATTTAAAGCGGTGAAACGATGACATATGGCGGCTGCGATAGTTACAGAGACCTCTAAGATACGCGTCGGGCGCGCTTAAACGTCAAAACTTGAGCAGCTAACGACTTTAACCATGCAATATTAAGTGAGGATAATGAGCCCGACAGGAGAGGAGAGACGCTAATCCGGCGTATGGTTAAACTTGCGAGCTCTGTTGTGAAACACTTCGCGAACAGCCTGAATAAATTATTACGCATCGCCACTAAGTGACGCGGCTCAGGAGCCGGCCGTAGTAAATTTTATAAGTTACTGCGTGTGTAAAAATCGCTTTATATTTGTGCACATGTTTTGCGTACTGAATCGCGCGTCTGCGTGAAATTAGTAAAATATTCACGCGACGCTTTCTTTCTTTAAGAAACGGCTTCTTTAAGGAATACGTTGGCACTACAATATAGACATCATAAATAGTTTTTAGTTTTTTTAATATTAATAAGCCTCGAAGTTTCGCCATCAGTATCGCCCCACGATCTAATCTCTTACTCGGTAATGGGCCGTATCCAAAAAAAAAAAACTATTTGTCACGAACTAATGTGATCATAGATAGTTCCAGCGCCCGAAGCAATAAGACCCCCGAAAATATTGAAGGTCCATAATTTTTTCGCTCGTTGCCATCGATAAGGGCGAAAGGGTAGCGCGGGTGGGGTGCGGGGGACGTCATACACGTAGTTCAAAACTTCTCAGCCGCCGTAAACGGGGCCTCGGGTGTTTGTTCCTTGTCAGACGCCGTACGTGCTCTCATTACCAGCCGCGCATTGTTTGCCCGACGCCGATGTGTGACTGATGCGAGGGGCTGAGGAGCATCCCTTTCGCATTCAGCTCTCTTGTAACGTGCACAAACGAACTGCGCAACGTCGTTTGTCTCTATTTCCTATTCCCCGGTAACGATCAAATCAAGGTACAGACGTACGCAACAAACGTTCGAGTACAGAGATAATTGGGACTTGCTTTGATATACTTTTAATTCGAAACTGGCCAGTGCTTGACAGCAATCTATGCTGTATGGTGGATGATAAACGTCATCGTAAACGCGATGGTCAGTAAAACCCTATTCACTCGAGCCATGAAGACTAAGTTACGTCCGTAACGGAGAGGCAGACTCCGGCAAATTGTTCCACTCCTTATATTGTTTTACACTTAATGAACTTACGCGATAGAGTGAACCGCTTGGTTTGTGCAAAATGTGCACAATCTTACCCGAATGTGTCCGAAATGCAATTTTGAAGAAAGATGTTCTTGAACTCCTACTTGGTCCCCACCGTGTGAGATATTTAGGTTTTAGGTGACTTTATATCGAAAGCGGCCATTCTTTTGATGCTTTCCACGCTTTAATTACATTATTTTTTTCTATTTTAATTTTACTTTATAAATACCAAAGTTCCGTAATTATTATTAACTGCTACTAATAAAATATATAAAAAAAACGGCGTTTTAGTTCTATTGCAATAAAAGCGGGCTTTTTTCATTTTTTTAAACTATTTATATATATATATATAGTTTTTTGAAATATACAGTAAGTATCATATATAATGGTAAGACTACCTTATCGGTAAGGCAGAATACCATATGCCATCGTATATTGATAATACTTTTCGACTTAAATCATACATATAAATATTATTTCCCTTTAATCCTGGTGGTCCTGACAAGGATATCTTGATATCATGTTGAAACTATGCTATTACTATTATTGCATAGTCATCGAAGCTGAACACGCATGCTAATTTTCAAACAAATCGTAGAGCTAGAAGTGGATGAAATAAACGTTGAAATATTTTCTTATATTGATTGATAGATACATGTGAAGCTAATAAAAGCGCGTTAAAAATAAATAACGATCGTGAAAAGTATAAACTGAAACATTGTGTTTAAAAAATAATGAAGAAAATATTTGCTTAACCTTGGACTAATTCAAATTTTCTCTACAAACGATATTTCGAGAAAGTTTTATAAGGTGTTCGGAATTTAGGGGTGCTCATCTAACTTTATATCACAATTAGCTATTTAAAATGCACAATTTAAAAATATTTGGTGATGTTTATATAGCGTAATACTATTTTACGCATTTTATCGCGTTTTGTTTTGGTTTTAAATTCAAGACATTCGAAAATTTTACAACGTTCATGGTCACCGGACAGATGACGCGATAAATCCATAAAATAGTTATATTTAAGCATGTGTAATGTCCGTGCAAATACAAGAAACCAATGTTTGCGAATATTAACTTGCCCAATTTTCCTCCGGCATGTTATTTAGAGCATATTTTATATAATTCAATGATCGAAATTGCATTTACGTTCGGTCGAATAACGCACATGCGCGCGCTGTACGTGTCTAAAAACGTCTAGATAAGCAAATGCGACGCCAGCATAAATATTTTCACAATCGCATGGCGTTACTGTTACTAAATAGCCGTGTACTCTCCACTCGATAATACCAAGGCTTTCCACTTTTAGTAACACTCCGGATCGCCGCACCAGTCGCGCCGTTCGGAACTTTATTGCTAAATTTAATGGTATTAATTTTGTTACTCATACCACTTCTTCTATATAAATAAAATGATAGAGGTCTGTCGTTGTGGGCGCGTCACGGATAAACTACTGGATAGATTTTAATTACTTCTTCCATGTTTTATTTCTTAGACACTTGACCAGTACCTAAAAAATATTGAGATATCTTCATTTAATGTTCACTACGTGATGCGTGAGAAATGGCCCAAACGGTGTAGTTGTTAAAATAATCAGAAAGGCAGACGAAGTCGTGGGTCCGCTAGTCAACAATTAATTTTGAATTTATAACCGAGATAAAAAACATAAATAGGTAAGATTATATTCATAGCAAAACTATAAAAACGGATAATATTAAGTATACATTTAAATTGTTCATTTTAAAGATCTGCTTCATCACACGATTTAGTAACAGTGTGGTCTTATTTGAAAGGTAAACTTTATAAGTTTCTTTCAACGCTGCGCGTTGTGTATGACGAACGAGCATATATTTGAGGAAAACAAGTTAACAGTCAATGAAAACTGTTCGCGATTGCAAGGTCTCGCGAGTGAGCGGCGGAATTTTTGTCGAAATGTCAATACCACTTCGAACTTTTACGTATATCAAGTTCACGACGTGTGAAATGTTTTAATAAGAATTGGTGCCGACAAATATACATTCGTTACGAACAAACGTGTAAGCGATACAATAATTTTGTAAAACGCATTCCGCTATTAACAGAGGTTTGTTTCTTATTTCATGATTAGATGCTAGTGTCGATACGGAAGAAATAAAGAAATAAATAGGTATCGGGCAGCATTATGTACAGACGCACACGAAATATATTGTACGCGGTATAATGAAGTGGGTACAATATATTTGCGTAGATAAGTGAGACAGACAATCTAACAGCACTTGCGTATTTCTCCAAGGGTTATAGCGTCTGCTTTTCGTCATTAGTGTAATTTACGGCCGGAGGTCAGAGATAAGAGGGTGTCAGACGATCCAGTTCTCGCGTTAGATACGCTGCGCCATTTACGCGTTAGACTGTATTTATCCACGCTGTTCGCTTCATATTAAGCGGAGGTTGCCTTTAGTTCACTATGCGAGAGGCCCTATTAGCGAAAATTGCAAAAGTTAGATTTTACAGCGAGTTTAAAAGTTAGGCCTATAAATGGTTACTCCAAACTAAAAAAAAAAACAAGTACTTTTAAAACAGAAGCCAACCCTGAAGCTCGTCGTGCGTACTTGTCAGTGAAAAATCGACTTTATGGTTGACTTACAATGGCACTAAAACGCCAGAGACCTCTTATGGATGCTGTATTCTCTATTTTTAATTAACCCATTTTGTGTATTCGTGTCAGTAAATGACTTTAAAGTGGAGGCTGTCCAATATGCATACATATAACATACCGATGAATGTCAGTGTACAACACTGAATCACAGTTGCAAAGCAGATTTAGTCTACCATATAGGTCTTCCAGGTCACACAATTTGCATGTGACCTCCATCGAGCGTCGTACACGGCTGGCTATAAACTAACAATGTTAACAATTAACAAGCCTATGTATCGTTGTACAGTTAAACTGAAGGTTATATTTAGCAATAATGCGGCACAATAATCGATTCGTGTCTTACTGTGAGCATCATCGCATGAAATAATTGATATAAACATATCGAATAACATCGTAAGCATTCAAGCGACTCACCTCAAACTGTAGGGCGCGTGAGACAGCTCAATAGAGATCCCATCGCTCGCCGCACCAATAATAAACAGGCACAGGGTAAAACAGATGTCGCGGCTATAGTGAACCGAGTTGGGTGGGCACAATCGAACTGTCGTCACGCACAGAACGTCCGGCGGCGGTGTTAACAAAGCCACGTGTACGGAGCAACGCGCCGAAACCAACTGGGACGGTCGATCTATTAAAGCGGTGCGCGTGCACAGGCCCGCCGGTCCATTTCCCCCACGCGACTCGCCCCGTTAGAATTTGTCGTACAAATACACATAATGCGCTTCTCTCAATCTCTTTTGCGGGCCGCGTTGCGAAATTCTCCGATCTGTTTAGGGTTGCCAGGTGTTGCTACGGTATATCTCGGGACACTTCGTCTAATCGTTTCGGATTATCTTAAAAAATAAATATCAACCTTGTATACGGCAGTGATAACTTACTATCAGGTGGTCGTTTGCCTCCTTCTTTCATAACATATCTGTATATATATATGTATAACTAGATGATCCAGCAAACGTTGTTTTGCCATATAAATAATTTGTAGGATAGAAATAATCAAAATAAATAAAAAAAATAAAAAATGTGAATTTAAACCATTCTCTAATCGACCTGAAGACGCAAAAAATTTCATTTAAATCGGTACAGCCGTTTACGAGGAGTTCAGTGCCTTACACACGTACGAATTATATATATAAAGATTTTCAGAATCGTAAAGAAGAAACATTAAAGTTCTAAAGTAACCTATAAATATTTCTATATTATATTCGTTTATGGTATGCAAATATTGGTTATTGCGACGGTGCTAAGGGATCGACGAAACGATTCATTACTCGCCCACTATCGTGTATGACGGAAAGTCGTTAAGATTATGGTAACTTATTATTATGGACGTCATAAATTCTGTGCGGCCTCGGAGTATTTCTAAAGGCGAAAAAATGTGCGGAACGTCCGCGTATGCAGGCGACGTGTGGAGATATTAGTTTCGTAAAACACGCACGGCTAATGCGTACGAATCTCGCGTCCACGTCTCGGAAGATGGATCGAGTGTTAGGAGTGTATCACGTAGCTACATTCATCACAATCGCTCTATAATCCAGTTTCCATTGTAATTCTTCGCTTGACGGTTGACTTTGACCCGAATGGCAGTTCCGCATTTATGCGCCGATTGGTGTGTGATTGTATTTCGTTACGTATCTTGTATGCACATGGCATTTGTTGTAATAAACAGACGACGTAGAAAAAAATGACCTCATAATTATACGCTTTATAGTAAACACACGTAGTTTGTCTTAAACGTTTACAACTTCATCATTGTAACGAGCATTGCATTGGTTTTTGGATGTCTCTAAATTTGTTTTTGTGAGTTAATTTGATTAATTAGTTTGGCTTGGAATGGGCAAAGCATAAGCATTACAATCACCCATAATAGAAAAATCTAACATCCCATTAGCGTTTTTTTTAAAAGCGGGAAAGATAAATTATAGTTAAAAATTTTAAGCAACCTGGGATCGTGGGTTCGATTCCCCAAGTATTTGTTTAACCCACAGATAATTTTTCCGGATCTGGTTGTTTGTTCCCAAGGAGGGTCGAAAGTCAGGCAGGAGGCCGGTTGTAAAAAACACAGCTAAAACCACTTACAACGTGATTCACATTTTGTGTCGAACCCACCTGGTGGGATAAGGGCTGAAGGATGATGTTATGTATAAGCATCTCGTTGAACTTTCCCCCTAAGACTGATGAATAAGCATTTATGCTAACTCAATATGTGTTAATATTCCTAAGTTGCAATAAAAAAAATTTGACGCAATTACGTTTTCTTCTCTTTATTAGACGGAGTTCTATTATAGGCATTTACTTCGCAGTTACTGTGCCTCATGTATACAATGATAGAATAAAGGTTGGTTATTCAGTAGGTCGGAAAACAGCGCATTAATTAAAGACCAATTACACCACACGCAAGCGTTTGATGGACAGTCGGTTGAATTATTCACAATATTTTAACCTTTACAGCGACTCGAAAGTTTACTCTAGTGTGTAACCTTTATACGTATTATATACAGTGTACGTTGATATTATGTATAGTGTAGGTTGGTTTATGAAAAGGGAACGTTGGTTGCTAAGGATGACCATCGTGCCGCTTCCCGTTCAGTCCTGGGTTTATTTCCAGTAAATACTAATGCATAATTGCGCTAAAACCGAACTCCAGTTGATGGGTGATGACGTGTAGTCGGTTCCAATAACCTACATGGATTTGAATTGTCGATTTCAAAACTCACAAAGGGTAAGTAATTAGACATTTCCTTAAATAACTCTTGTCAAATGCTGTGTAGGTAAAGGTTATCAAATTCCAATCTCTGTCAACTTCATTAGAGTAGATGTGAGAGTTGGGTGATTGTTATTCAAGTCACGCAAACATGTATGAATTATTCTCCGGGCGGGCCGTATCTAGAACTCGCTTATAACGGACTAGAGAGAATAAACAAAAATATTTCTTAGTGTAAAAGAAGAAACAAGTAGCTCGGCCCTGGTTGATTTAATGAAATCTACCGACGTAACTAGATTAGAGGAGATATGACAAAAGAAATGTACTGCAGCGCAATCTCGGCTGGGGGGGCAGGCGGCGCCTTGGAGATTAATAACGCCAGAACCGCCAACTAATGTTCCTTCTGTGATTAACCCTTGGCGTATTTTTGCTGCGGCGGCGGCAACGGCGGCTTACGACGAATGATGGAAGGGCACATAAATAATCGACGGCGGCATGTGCGTCTAGGAGCTGTTTATTGGAGTGAGCGGGGCACCGTAACGCTGGCGGTTCGCGTCGCGACTGAGACCGGAGACCGAGACGGAAGAAAGAGACAAGTGAATGCGGTGAGATAAACGCGAGACAAACGAAAAAAATGAAGACCGATACAGATATCAGTGCACAATCAGTATTGCGTAATTCATAAAGACCGTCTCACGGTCTTCTATCTCTGTGAGATTGAACTGTCTCGAACTGATCTCGAGAACCGTGGTCGTTTTGTCGTTTCTGTTTCGTTGTCTCTACGGCATCGGTCGCCACCAGCACCGTTAGAAAAAAATGAAGACCGATACAGATATCAGTGCACAATCAGTATTGCGTAATTCATAAAGACCGTCTCACGGTCTTCTATCTCTGTGAGATTGAACTGTCTCGAACTGATCTCAAGAACCGTGATCGTTTTGTCGTTTCTGTTTCGTTGTCTTTACGGCATCGGTCGCGACCAGCACCGTTAGAAAAAAATGAAGACCGATACAGATATCAGTGCACAATCAGTATTGCGTAATTCATAAAGACCGTCTCACGGTCTTCTATCTCTGTGAGATTGAACTGTCTCGAACTGATCTCGAGAACCGTGGTCGTTTTGTCGTTTCTGTTTCGTTATCTCTACGGCATCGGTCGCGACCAGCACCGTTAGAAAAAAATGAAGACCGATACAGATATCAGTGCACAATCAGTATTGCGTAATTCATAAAGACCGTCTCACGGTCTTCTATCTCTGTGAGATTGAACTGTCTCGAACTGATCTCGAGAACCGTGGTCGTTTTGTCGTTTCTGTTTCGTTGTCTCTACGGCATCGGTCGCGACCAGCACCGTTAGAGTGCTGTATGTAGCGAGGCCTACCTAGGTTTTTCTCTTCTCATTCGCCGCGCAGTTGCATCGGAAGGCCGTTATATCGGCGCCTCGACAGGTGTCGCAGCCACCCGCCGACGAATTCGCGAAACGAACGGAGACGGGAGCCAATAGCCACGTTCGCTTCCAAGAGCCACTTTCCCGTTACGAGCCGTGCGCCGGCTCAGTGTTTAGAGGTCGCGGCGACTTGTTGCCGTGTCTATGAGTGGTCGCGCAACAAATGACAATCGACATTCGCACATCGCCGTGGATCGAATTGCGCTCTTTCGGTCCCAAATGTTCGCCGCCGTAGGGGAAACCTTAGATGTTGCGTATCATACAAAATTCGAAACAATACATGATTCGAAATTTGATTCATTAAATGTTTGTAGATACGGCTAATTATGTCTCCGCTCCAGTGTAGTTTTTTTTCTTAAGGAGAAGCTTACTCAAGAGAACCATACAATTGTCATTACATAAGTTCACATAGGGATAATTGTTAGTGCATAACTGGGGCCGATACGTATGTATATGCCATACTTCCTAAAACCCAAACATTTATAACATGTTAGGTATATAGCGAAGTTATACTGTCCGTAATCCCACTCACAGTGGAAACTGTTTGGGCGTGAACACAACGTAATCTCTAGATCGGCCTGTGGCCTAGTAAAGGAACATACGCCGAACAAATCACTATTAACTAATAGTTTGAGTGAACAACTCAAATTTTCAGGGAGTATGTAATTTCGGTAGTAGCACGAAAATAATCAGTGAGTTCCGTGAAACGCGCTGACCGCTTAAACTACGCAAAGTTTCATAATCAACTCTTACTCTTATGTGTGTATCGAACATACGACCCAAAAAAAATTTTACATAATTTAAAATGAAAAAACCTTGTGAGTCAGCCTCGCCGTTGGCCTATAGAATTCATAAGTTTGAGAATGGGCATAATCAGTCGAGCCAAGTTCGCGGCGCGCGTGGAGCGTGTGTCGAAGGCGGGCCGTCACCTTGGATATGCGCAAAATAATATTTACTCGCGACACCGGTGACGGTTCGTTGCCTTGCTTTTAATGGAGTCAACTTTTTAAATTGCGACTTTTATATGCGACACTCGTGAGACGGGCCGCGGCACGACTAGGCCCACCTTTATATACATGAGTTTTTCAATCGATACGTAGTTTTGAAAATTTTTGTAGGAAGAAATTTCTTGCAACTCCTTCATTTGTCGCAGCAGATGATCGGAAAGACAGAAGACCAGCGAATTCCGAAGTCTATATTAACAAAGCAACGCGTTTGGGCGCTCATAATGGTATAAAACATGAAGTTTTCATTTTGCCCTACACTATACATTACAAACTGCCTCTTATCAAGTAAATTTTTTTACAGGACGAGATGGACAAAGCACGCGATTCTTCCGATAAGTGAATCATCGCCCTGTGTAATTGTAGTTGCGTTTGATCGGGTTCCCGGCTTGACGTGGCGGAGGGGCTAAGTAGCCGTAGGCTTGGTCACCCACGGCGAAGCTAAGAGGAACCCACACTGGGCCGGCCCGAGAGAGCCACTCTGGATGCGTGTTGGAGGGTGCAGGGGGCAGGTCGAGGATGGTAGAGGTGGAGCCACTCTCCCTGTCTGCTGCTACCGAGGAGTCGCGCAGGAAGAGGAGTGTCGGTATTGCGTTGGCCGCGTTCCCTATCCTCCGCGACTCGGCGGGGCTGCACCGTTGATGCAGTGGTGGTGGGGCTGAGGGGGGAGAGGAGTGTCGGTATTGCGATGCGCTGTTCTCCCTACCCTCCGCGGCCAAAACGTGGTGAGCAGGAGGCTTGCTGCTATTGGAACTGGCTCTCCTGGCTCCGTCCGACATAACCCGTAAATGTAATTAAACACTGACTGTTGCGTGTTGGTGCGAAATCTCCTGCGGGTTTGCGGTGAGCGATTTGGACACGTGTGGTTTATGTGATCTGTCTGCAATTATCTAATTAGTGAGATGTACTATCTCGTGAGCGTAACGCCACGGAATTTCTAACGTCAAAACCGTCAAAATACACGCGAATCACATTGACGGTAAACATCTGCTTGTGTCGCTAGGAAGTAATTATAAGATCAAATATATGATTTCTAATTCCAGACAAACTACTACAGTTTAATACGGGAAAGTCCTTAAAACTATTATTGCAACATAGCATCCACCTGTGGTATGGCCGCGCAACAGTCCTCGCTGCTGCACGGATGAGTAGGTTCGTCCGAAGATGTACCACTGCCTCACAGAAGACCGGCGTGAAATGGAAGTGTGTGTGAAAATGAGCCCACTTTATTAAAAGGTGCCATGGCAACGCTTCTGTTATCCTAACGGGGTTTTGTCGCAAATGTCGATGGGCGGCGGTTATTACTTAATATCACTTGAACGGCCAGCTCGCTTGCCACATTTTCATTAAAAAAAGACGTAATCAGGTCACAGCATCTCCGCAGGTGCCGCGGCGTGTCGCCAAACCACTACTTACGTTTTGATACACCTATCCGCAAACCGTTTCAGGCGTACCTATAGAAGTGGTTGGGTTACCTGCAACAAAGACAAATATCGTATTTAATTGTTCACACACACAAGCGTCTAACCCATATTTATGCATGCAGATAAAACTTAAAACAGCGAAGTGCTCGCCCACAACAAATGGCTTAACACGAGGTGGGGTTTAATTACGTTGCAAAGAATATTACGATTAAATTTTCGGCGACAACATGTTCACTGTCGCTTAAAAGCTTTGTTCATTGAATTATGTTTAAACACAATTCAGCTTATAATAGCGGTGCGTTCTGAGCGGGCCCCGTAAATTTAACATCCATTTGACATCTAATTTTATCCGTTAGTGATTCAAGTGAAAATCTATGTTCGCCGTTCGGTCACGTCGTTATGGTATTTTATATGCAGGTACGGCACTTCGATTTCAATTATGCGCATCCGTAATATTCGTATTACCGAACAGCGCGCATAACGCTAACTACCGCCTCCGTACGTCGTTAAACTACAGAGAATTGTTCCGTAGATAAATCCAAACGCCACGTAAATTCATTGGATCATTTAACTCTGTCGAACAATTTTTGAAGTTATACTCCTTTTGTCGCGTTTGCAAAAAGTTATAAAAGTAAGATTTTTAAGATGCGTGCGCAGATCGAGAACCAACAAGCGACCAACTTCACGGTATTACCATGACATCCAATAATTTTTTTTAAAATATCTATAATTTCAAGTTATTTAATTAAGTCTTTTTCACAAACAAAGAGTGGCTGGCACAGGGAACAATTTTTTTTTCTTTTTTTGTTACGCAAAAGAAGTATAACTAATAAGTTGACTGTACTTATGTACGCACATAATAATGTGCGTACATATAAGTACAGTCATACTATTTATTAAACTATCAACCTTCATCATCTCGATCCGGAGATACCTAAATAAAACAGTGGTTGCCAACCTGCTCTCCAGGCGTGGCAACTATGGCAAAACACTATCTACCCTACTTGAAAGAAATAATTTTTCACCTTCGCTGTCGCCATTTAGAACCCCTGTGCAGATTCGTAAAACGAATACAGGATCGCATAAAGCTATGCCTGTTTCCACGACGAGTTTATCCCGGGCATATTATTTATGATCTTTATGTTTGTATACGTTGTACGTGTAAAATTTAGCAAACGGTAAAGGAATATGGTTGCGACACGACACGAAAATACTCAATTTTTATATATCGCATCAGTCTGTTTTACGTGACTCAAATGTCTGGAGACCGTATATTATGTCACGGGGAGGGCTGCCTCGGCGGACGCGTTCTATCCAGCGAACGCGGCTTAGATCAATGTGCCTAGCGCTGGCAATATCGTCGCTATGAATAGTGGGACACGGCATCCGGGTGATCCCCTGCAGAGCAAATTTAGCTGAGAAATTTTTACAGAAAATAAAAACTAAACAAGAACGTGTCGTTCGGAAGAGAATAAAGTAAATAGCGCGTTTATTTAGCATTTGATTCCATTCTCCGGGAAATATCTGAACAGAAACCTATATTAAAACTTCGATTTGACAATAAAAAGTTTTTAATAAAACGCATATTAATAATTTTCTTAGACAATGCAGATACAATTTTTTATTGTTATTGTCCATAATCAACTATTTTGAATTCCAAAAATATAAATTATTGCTTTTAGAAACAGTAAAGTTAGCATACGAATTTCTCAATATATTTCTTTATGTAACTCGTCAGAGAAGACTATTAGCAACGATACAAATTCCATGATATAAATCGCATCAGGCCTTGTGTCAAACAGGCTGTATCGGAAAAGAGGTCAAGTTTGCGAGAGAATTTAATGAAATCAAACACTTTCGAGATCGTCGTTGGGGCCCTCGAAATGGCTCGATTCGCGAGAATCGGCGGTCACGAAAGATCCGGACGCAGCGCCCAGAATGCAGAGTGCGTATTGGGAAATCATCTATGGACAGGAGTCTTTCTTTATACAAACTTAAAATCGGGTTGGGGATATCATGTACGGAAAAGAGTTCTCAACGATTTAAAAATCGAGATTGGGAAATCGTCTATGAACAGGAGTCGTCAATGAATTAGTAGTTGGGGTTGGGAAATCGTCGATGGACAGACATTCCGTTGGTAGGGAACCAGACGGGTGAAGCCGCTGGCAAAAGCTAGTCTATTGGCATACGTCAGTGAAGATGGTTTGCTGGTCGGAGCATCAATTATTTAAAGCGAAGAGTTCGACCGCCACCATTACGATTTTTCACCGTGTAGCTGTAGAATATAAAGCAAATGGTTTATCGTGTCCGCAACCAGCGATATTGGAGACGCAAAAAAAGTCGATGGTCCGATTTACACCGTTTCTAACAAAGCCAAATCAATATTTTAAAAATATTACAGTTACTAAAGTAATCACTAGTTACATAAAAGTAAAGTAACAGCCTATACATGTCCCACTGCTGGGCAAAGGCCTCCTCTATACAGAGGGTATCAGGGCATAGTCCACCACGCGGCCCCACTGCGGATTGGCGGACTTCACATATCTTCGAAATACATATCATTATCATCATCATCATCATTTCAGCCTGTTTGAGTCCACTGCTGAACATAGGCCTCCCCCACAGACTGCGATCCTGAGCCACCTGCATCCATCGACTTCCCGCATATTTGCACAGGTCGTCACTCCATCTAGTGGTCGAATATACCTCAATGTTTG